AGAAAGTTTGATTACTTTAACTATTGTTTATTAATATTAGGATCCTATTAGCCCTGGCACATGACTGCAGCTTCTCTTCCTGGTGTCCACAATATAATTAAACTATTAGTGATTTCTCACCTGCAGTAAACTCCTGATATATCCAGGCTGAGCTGCATGTGTTTCCTGTTTCTAATAAACAAAAGTAGCGAGCTATTAAGCTAACCCTTAATGTACAGAAATGACGGAGAGAATAACAAATAGAGGCCGGGTTATTTAAAACCTCATCTCGGTTTCATCAGGTCACACCCTGAAAAACATACTTCAGGTGCATTAATAATTTCCTCACAGCCCGGCTGTGGATGTAAAGTATAAAGTATTTATCAAATCTTTATATCAAACATGCCAACAGTGGCGATGCGAGCTCTCGGTTTTGAAGTGAAGAAAGTCGACGTTTTGAAGATCCTCAAAGACTACGACCGAGAGGGAAACGGAAAGATCACTTTTGAGGATTTCAATGAAGTCGGTGAGCTTGTCTTGAACTGGTTTAACCCTCAGACATCAGTTTGATTTACCCCTCTGAAGTCACTTAGGACAAAAATGTCCACTTCCAAAAACTGATATATAAATAGAACAGATTGATATTTTTTTCTACTTTTTTCTGCATAAATTTCTTAAACAACTTCAGCCCTGCTCAAAACTACCAAACATTCAATCATTTTTAGGAATTTAACCCTTTAAATGCCAGTTTGATTACTTGATGTCACTGTTGTTATTTATGAAAAAAAGATTATCCAAAATATTGACTTTGATGCATTGTTAGTTTTTGTGTAGCATCAGATTTAAAATGTAGTTCCCTGTTTGGACATTAGAGGGCGCAAATGTCCAATTTATAGAATAGAATAGAATTACTTTGTTGATCCCAAACTGGGAAATTGTGGTTTTTACAATTTACATTTTACAATTTAAAAAAACTGCTATATAAATAGAACAGATTCATATTTTTTTCTACTTATTTTTGCATAAATCTCTTAAACAACTTCAGCCCTGCTCAAAAATATCAAATAATTATCAGGAACTTAACCCTTTAAATGACAGTTTGATTACATGATTTTGGCATTTAAAGGGTTAAATTCCTGACACTTATTCAATATTTGGTAGTGAGTGAGTTTGTCTTGAACTGGTCTAAGATGTGATGGTTGAACCCGGCTGGTTGATATTTATGAGACGCATCATGTTACGTATGCAGTGACCGACCGCATCCTGGAGCGGGACCCCAAGGAGGAGATCATGAAGGCCTTCAAGCTGTTTGACGACGACGAATCGGGAAAGATCGGTCTGAGGAACCTGAGACGAGTCGCTCGAGAACTCGGGGAGAACATCAGCGACGAGGAGCTGCGCAGCATGATCGACGAGTTCGACGCCGACGGAGACGGAGAAAGTAAGACATCCAGTTACTGATCCCAAAGCTGTCAAAGAGAAACTGTTTTAGGGGCGCTGGTGGCGCAGTGGTTAGTGCGCGCCGCATGTATGGAGGCTGTAGTTCTTCAAGCGGCGGCCCAGGTTCAAATCCCACCTGTGGCTCATTTCCCGCATGTCGTTCCCAACTCTCTGTCTCCCCGGTTTCCGACTCTATCCACTTTCCTATCTCTACAATAAAGACACAAAAAGCCATATAATAAATCTTTATAAGAACAATTTAAAAAAGAGAAACTGTTTTTGTTGTTGGGTGAAACAGAACTGAAGCAAAAGTCTGCGCCCGATGAATCCATCAGTTTTTACATCATGTGATTTTACTGTTTGTCCCTTTGTGAAGTGTTTTATCACAACAACAGAACAGCTCAGTGTTCTGCCTTCTTCACTCCTTCAGTCTGATCAGGAAGTCTGAAGTAGTTAACAGTTTGATCCAGCAGAGGCGCTCTCAGCATAACTTGACAATTGTGTGCACTGTTGACCTCAGCAAGAAGACAGTACTGTTGTAAAAGCAACAGGGGGCGCTATTCAGGAGATGCAGACTGACATAATAATAATAATAATAAAGTTTATTGATAAAGCAAGCCACAAAGTGCTTTACAGAAAAATTAAAATCCCAACAGTCAAATACACAACAATAAAATCCTATTAAAAAAAGCATGAAAAATAAAACAACAGTGCAGCAATCATCCAATGAACAGAGAGAAGAGAAACAACCGAGACAAAGATCGGCTAAAGTTAACAGTAAAACAAATAAAAACATCATGGATGAAACGAGGATTATAAGAAGGCCTTACGATAAAAATGTGTTTTTAAAAGAAGATACTGATGTATCTACATGAGGGAGACTCTCTGCAGAAAGCAGCCCTCTGATTGGTGGAGAGACACAGGGTCACTACAAACCTGCAACTCTCCAAGCTGGCTCGCAAAGATAGGCGTGTACCAGAATCGTCTGTGCACTCTGAACGGGCGTTCTGCACTCGACCCGATCAGGTTAATAGACTTTTGTTTCTGGTGAATACTATTAAAATACAAATCTGTCTTTTTGGATAAATTCTGAAAATGTTTTGTCTCTGTGGTCAAATGCTACCGGGTCATGTTCCAAATTTGTTGGAAAAATGACAGTCCGTGTGGAAACACAAGCAAGCATAGAGGGCGGAGCTATACACACTGCAGTCTGCGGGTTGGTCAAAAGAATCGTTACTTCCCGTGTCACAGCGGTAATAAAACACAAAACGCTCCATATGTAAATATCTGGTAGATTTCCAGAGAGTCGTTTCAAGGCTGTTTTTGTTTTTTTGTGATGATGTCAGCGCGTAGCTCCATGGACGACCACTCGGGGCAAAACCAGTTTACACATCGCCCTTAATGAGGACTTTACACCCGAAGTTAAGACACACACACCAGCTGCTGAAACAGGAAGCAGACTTTAAAGGAAACTAAAGAATGAGTCGATGAGTCGCCTGAACGTTAACCTCCACAAACATTCAGCAGCTTTTCTGGAATATTCTAAACGAGTTTTAATGATCAAAGTGTTTTTGTGTTTTTCAGTAAACCAGGAAGAGTTCCTCTCCATCATGACAGAGGACTCATGATGACGACGCTTTCTGTTCCTGTGGACTGAACATCATGAGCTGTATGGAGGCGGGCGCCGTGAGCTCTGGGGTCCGACGTGGAGCGGACTCACTCATTGGCCCGTCGAGCTGAGCGGTGTGTCCTGAAGATGTTTCTAATCAGTGCGTTTGATTTCTTCATGATTGAGCCGGAGAACATTTCAGACTTCATGAAGTTTCTGATATTTGTTGTTTTTTGTTGTCTGTTGTTTCTCCTGGAGGAGTCTGTGGTTTAAAATATGAAATGTGATATTTATTCTGTGCAAAATAAAATCAGTTTGGCAGCCAGGATGTGATGTCATCGTGCGATGCTGTCTCTTTAGTTTACATGAGATCACTAAACTAGTGCTGGTGCTAACAATGCTAACTGGACTTTTTACACGCTCACACATACACACACACACACACACACACACACAGTTACTCTCCCACTACGCTGACGAGCAGAGACGCCTGATTGGACGACGGAGGTCACTGCTGCTTCAGTCAATACTCCCAACACATAATCCACGCCCCCTCAGCAGATTTGGACCAGACTCGGTCAGACTTCTGGTTGGTGGGACAACTTTAAAAATGAAATGGTCATTGCAGAGAAATGGGGTGAAAATGTTCACGTCAGGGACATCGTTGTTGACTTGGCGTGCTCATGTGACTCTTTAAGGTCGTTTATTTCGTCTTAGTCGTTCTGTGATGTCGTTTCTCCTCTCTCATTAACTTGACTTTCTCATCGAGGTTAGTTTGCATCTCTTTTTGGTGATCTTTCTTTTGTGTTTTTTTTGCTCTTCTGTCTTTTTGTCTTTTTGTCTTTTCTTTTGCAGGTCTTGTTGGTCGTTTAGCTCTTTTCTTTTTTGTGATGTCTTTCGGGTTTTTGCTCTCTTAGAATCTTTGGACAGTTTTCTCTCTTTGTTGACATTTTGTTGACTTTTTAAAATGTCTTATCTGCAGTTTTACTTGCTGTACCTCAGCTGTCCACCAGAGGGCAGCACTCTCACATCTCTAACCCTTTATGATGTGTTTGGTGAACTTCAGCCTCACTACATGATAACTCAAATGTTTCTGCCAGTTTGAACTCTTTAAACTCAACGTTTCAAACCAAGAAAGACTCTAATCCAAACTTTCTACATTAAAAACTCTGAGTTCACATATTTTCTGATGATGTGTGAGCTCGTCACTCTCTGCTCGCAGCAGAGACGCAGAACCTGGACCACAAAAACCCCTCCATAGGCGGATCCTCCTGTGCTCCCTGTTATTTGGGCCCCCGCAGACCTTTAACCACGGCTTTAGATGAAGGTCTGCGGCATGTGTTTTTCCTCCGTTTAACCCCTCGTCTGCCGCCCTCATGATGAAGAGGAGTGTGGTCGGCTAACCCCAGTTTGCTTTGGTAATAACACGAGGCGATCGCACAATGACAGGCTGCAGCGCTCTGTGGCTTTTCTCCTGTGTCATAAAGTTTCTGAGTGGGACGACTGAAAGTGATGCAGTGAGAGAGCGCTCACACACACACACACACACACACACTGAAGGTCAGCAGCAGCTCTGAGGGGTAATCATCAGAACCTGGACCCGGTCTGTCCTGCAGGGACTTTGCCCTTGCTCCGGCACATGCTCAGCTGTCGGTCCATATGCTCCAGAAATAAACCACACCAGTTCCTCCCCAGTTACAACCTCAGAGTCGCCCCCCTGTGGTTAGCATGACACCACACACAGACGCACACACACACACACACACTCTTTTGTAGTGCGTAATGGTGGGGGTGACTACACAGGGCCCCAGTGGAGGAGGGGGCCCTGATTGGACTTCAGAAGAAATGAAACCTGAAATAATCAAGTAATGAAATTTAAAACTGAAGAAACTTTTAAACAATAAATATCAACCTCAAAAAATCCTGTTAATTGTCGAGTTAGCTTTCAAAGGTGAAATATACAATCGCCCCCCCCCCCCCCCCTTCAGTCACATTCAGACGAACAGAAAACCCCTCAGATGTGTTTTCAGTCTTCAAACATTTAAAGTGTTTCAGAGTTTGGTCGCCAGGCGTCTCTGAAGCATCTCGTCAGAGTTCAGCTCTGCGTCCACCTGTCAGTCATTAGAACAGATATGCCCTCTATGTGACAACACTTACCCTCCGACACCCCCTCCTCTCAGACGGGGGGAACAGGGAGGGGGAGGGGGGGTTCAGATCTGAGCGGTTGATGTTCTCCAGAAACTGATTATTACAGAAAGTCTCTTCATCTGATGAGACCTAACTCGCCCACAGTCCGCACAGAGAGAGAGAGAGAGAGATGTCAGCGTGTTAACGACGTCTGTCAGCTGTGATGGTGACACCAGCCTCCAGGTGGGGTCCTGACCTTTGACCCCCCCCTGACCTCGACCTGCACGGCCACCTCGAGTCGAGCCACGTCGTAAAATGATCGGCATGAGAAGCAGCTCGTTGTGAAGTTTCTTATTATCATCCTCAACATTTAATTTCCTTTTTAGTCTTTTTCAACATTTGAGGCTGAACTGTCGTCGAGTCAAGTTTTTTTATTTCTCACATTTCAGCAACGAATCAAAGAGGTTCAGACACGGCGGTGTCAGAAGCATCACCACGAAGACACGTTCAAATAGAAACGTTTAAAAATCACTCAAACAAACCGTTAACCATCACAGAGAAAATATGAAAATATGAAATAAAATCTTAATCAGAAATACAGAAATAAGACTTTAAGTAGACTGCTGGTTATGGCGGCGAGCAAGGTGGACGTGGTTACTCGTGCTCCGTTGCTAGAGACTAAGTCAAAATCGGGACCAGGGCAGGGTGAGACCGAGTCTACAATTCTACAATTCACTTAGCAGACTCTTTTCTCCAAAGCGTCGTACATCAGAGAGTAAGAACAACACAAGCAAGGATCTAGAAAAAAGGGAACAATGTCAGTAAGAGCAAACGATCAGCTTTGAGTCTGATTGGACACACAGGTGCTGACAGGAAGTGACCAGAGGCAAAGCACAACATTGAGGGCAGTTCTTGAGAGCTCTAATCAGTATAGAAACCATCTTATAAGTCGTCGTTATCAAACAAAAACCATCGTCATTACCATCATCATCATCAATAATATGGAGACCATCATCATTAAGTTAGTAGGTATTCATGAAAGAGCTGGGTCTTTAGCTTTTTCTTAAAGGTGCAGAGGGACTCTGCAGATCACATGGAGTTTGGAAGTTCATTCCACCACCGGGGGGCGACAGAGGAGAAGAGTCCAGTCAGAGACTTAGGACCTTGTTGTGAAGGTTGGATCAGACGCCTTTCATTGTCAGAGCGTAGTGGGGGGAGGGAGTGTAGACCTGGATGAGAGAGTTAAAGTAAGGAGGAGACGTTTTAGTCGCTGTTTTGTAAGCGAGAGGCAGAGCTTTAAATTTGATGCGAGCAGTAACTGGGAGCCAGTGTAAGGAGATAGAACAGCGGAGTGACATGTCAAGACCAAGACCGAGACATTTAGGGATCGAGAGTGAGTCAAGACCAAGACATTTAGGGATCAAGACTGAGTCAAGACCAAGACTGAGACATTTAGGGATCAAGACTGAGTCAAGACCAAGACTGAGACATTTAGGGATCAAGACTGAATCAAGACCAAGACCGAGACATTTAGGGATAGAGACCAAGTCAAGACCGAGACCAAGTCAAGACCAAGACCTAGACCAGGGTAGGGTGAGACCGAGTCAAGACAAAGACCGAGACATTTAGGGATAGAGACCGAGTCAAGCCGAGATAGCAATATGCCTACAGGTGCTATATTCATTGACCTTGCTAAAGCATTTGGTTGATCATTTCTTTTCTTCATTATTGAAGTCAATGTGTTTTTTTCAGGGCAGCCAGTCAGACTTCCAGATTATTGATAAAGGTGTGCCACAAGGTTCATCTTTAGGTCCTCTATTATTCTCCATCTTCATCAATGACCTCTCACAAGTTTGTTCTGACTGTCAAATTCATTTATATGCCGATGACACTGTAATATACTCCTCCAGTTCGGACATTTCACTAATTCAATAATCTGATTTTAATCTAGTCCAAAAATGGTTCTCTGTCAATAAGCTTCTTCTGAAAAAGAAAAAATCATATTTTATGTTGTTCTGCACTCGACCAGATTCTTTGCCTTTAACAAAAAACTGACATATTCATTTCCTGGATGGAACAGCATTAGAAAAAGTAGATGAATTTAAATATTTGGGCCTTTGGCTAGATTCCTAGTTATCTTTCAAACCTCATATCAACTCAATCTCTAAGAAAATATATGCTCGACCAAGACCGAGACATTTAGGGATAGAGACCGAGTAACTGAACTTCTGAGTTTACAACAAAACAGTTTGATGTGTACATGTTGTGTACATGTTGTGTACATGTTGTGTACATGTTGTGTGTATATGGTGTACATGTTGTGTACATGTTGTGTACATGTTGTGTACCTGTGTGTACATGTTGTGTGTATATTGTGTACATGTTCTGTGTATATTGTGTAAATGTTGTGTACATGTTGTGTACATGTTGTGTACATGTTGTGTACATGTTGTGTACATGTTCTGTGTATATTGTGTAAATGTTGTGTAAATGTTGTGTACATGTTGTGTACATGTTGTGTACATGTTGTGTACATGTGTGTATATTGTGTACATGTTGTGTACATGTTGTGTACATGTTGTGTGTATATTGTGTACATGTTGTGTACATGTTGTGTACCTGTGTGTACATGTTGTGTGTATATTGTGTACATGTTGTGTGTATATTGTGTAAATGTTGTGTACATGTTGTGTACATGTTGTGTGTATATTGTGTACATGTTGTGTACATGTTGTGTATATTGTGTACATATTGTGTACATGTTGTGTACATGTTGTGTGTATATTGTGTACATGTTGTGTACATGTGTGTATATTGTGTACATGTTGTGTACATGTTGTGTACCTGTGTGTACATGTTGTGTACATGTTGCGTACATGTTGTGTGTATGTTGTGTACCTGTGTGTACATGTTGTGTGTATATTGTGTACATGTTGTGTACATGTTGTGTACCTGTG